TGTGAGCACCAGATATGACGCCGAGACTGGAGAGACAGCCAGCATCAAGAGACACTTGCTAACTGTGTCTGTCTCCAGATGTTCTTCTCGGTTACTAGTCTTCTCCAAAAACATTTGTGATCCTTTTGCAAAGTAAACCCACTTATTAATACAGAAAGCTATCAAGGAATCTAAGAAAACTGTCAAAACTCTATACTCAAAAAAGAGAGCTTTTCCAAGATGCCCTTTAGGGCACTACCTGTCCATCACTATAGTTCAATGACATGTCATTCACCTGTCCCCCATGTTCTGTCCTGGTTTCACATCCCTGACTCCAGCCAGGGCTTCTGTCAATAACGCTTCTGAACAAAACATGTGTCAAGAAATCACTTTATTTTTCAAACAAGGTTTGGGAGGTACCACTGGAAGTTAAATATTCAAGTAAAATCACAGATGTTCCATTCTGTTAAACCAAAGTCTGTTCAGAAAACATATTTCCAAGTCAAAAGTCCACCTATCTTTTCCACTATGAACACAGCAAAATTCTAACTACCAAGGTGTTTCAATGGATTTAGAATCTCTTCTAGTAAACTTGGAGCTGGATGGTCTCTTGCAGCTGGTAGAATTTAAATTCACATCACAGCTTTGTTTTTAAGACCATTACTATCACTGGCATCATTAAAAACTGACACTCAAAAGTTTCATGATGTACTTGTTATTACGGGTCAATGAGTACGTTGTATGAAAAATAGGAACCCCAACCCTTTGAGGCAAGGGCCCTTTTAAAGAGACCATCTTTCTTCCCAGGGCATTGTCTGCACTGGGGGACAGAGCACCTTAGAAATGGGACCAGCAGCATGACCATCCTACCCACGTCCCCTGAGAACTGACGAAGCTTGTGAGGCCAAAGGATGCTAAAATAAATACAGAAAACATCAAAACCAGAATGTTCAAAAGACTCTGAAATATCAGGAATGGACATAAAATATTAAGCAAAATAGAATCACAAAATTGATTTTAAATTTTTAAAATGAGATACATGTGGATTATGTAAACATAGGAAAACATACATAATAATGCTGACTAAAAATACAACACAAAATAGCTTAACTGATTAATATGTAAAAATGTATACATATCCTATTAAACTGGGGTTCCACACAATACATTTTGGGAAATGCTGTTTAGATCAGTAGTTATGAACCAGGTGATTTTTGTCCCCCGGGGACATTTGGCAGTATCAGATCACATTTTTGGTTTTTACAAGCGGGGTTGGGGGTCCCACTGGCATCTCATGGTAGGGACCAGGATGCTGCTAAAATCTTACAGTGCACGGGACAGCCTCCACGGCACAGAACTATCTAGTCCTGGGGTCGGCAAACTTTTGAGATGGAAGAGCCAATCCTGTCCCTCACAACAATTTAAAAATTATTTGAGAGCCATAAAACAAATGAAATCACCATTATGTGAATAATATCCTTTAAAAATGTTATAGATGAAGCTATGATAGTTTTATTTTCATTTTCAATTTTACTTCAGGGCCACATGTACAGAGGTACCCAAAGAGCCGCATGTGGCCCGCGAGCTGCAGCTGGCCAACCCCTGATCTAGTCACAGACGTCAACAGTGCTGCGGTTTAGAACTGCTGACCTAGAGGGTCCAGGGGTATTTCCACTTATGCTGCAGCAAATTTTGCTGACATAAATGTTTTTTTTTTAAGTATACATAAATATATAACTGAATTTAGAAAATCACAAAGTTAAATTCCTAATTTTTTAATGCAAAAAAATGCAAACATTGATAAAATGTCTCAGACAACATATAACATATTGAGGGCTTACCAAGGTCCGCTTAAGGCATTATTTTTGCACAAATCTAATCAGTCTGTTCTGGAGACCCTGATCATAATACCTACCAACCTACAGTCCCTTCTGAGGGACCCCAACCCCAGTGCAGACCCTGCTGAAAGGGGGCGGCTGTGCAGATGGCCGGAGCCCAGCCCTCCCCGGGGGCAGGACGAGGCAGCCCCTAGGCCTCCGGTCAGTGGCTGGGAGGGGTGGAGGGAGAGAGCGCTCAGTCACTCTCCCTGGGGTGAGTGCTGGGAAACGGAGATGAGGCGCAAGCTGTGGGGAGGGAACACGCAATGGACAGTGAGGAGGAGCACTGGTGGGCAGAGCTGCTCTAAGGCACTCCCGGGAGGGCCCAGACCCCAGGTGGGCAGCCAGGCCCCGCCAGGGCCCACACCACAGCCCCGCTGGCCTCGAGGCCCAGCACTGTGGTGGTCCCTGCGCTCCCACTAGATTCTGATTCTCCTTATTCCTGTGGGACCCCAAGCCCCTGGACTTGAAGTCGGCCTGCTCCCTGCTATCCCGAGTCCTGACTAAAACAGCCAGTCGTACTGTAAGCGCCAGTCACAGGTGGCAAACAAGCATTTCCACCAAACACGCCTGCAGCCTCCTCACCTCACACGGCTTTACTTAGCCAGAAGCTGCACCAAAGACCCCGCCTTTTGGGTGATGGGGTCCCCCTGAGCAGAAACAATCTCCCATCAATCCACACTGAGCAGCTGACCCTAAGGGGAGGAGAGACAGGGCCTGGTGGCCGGACCTGTCAGCATGACCGAATCCTATCATTTGAAGACCCAGGACAATAAAATTAAGCCAAATACGAGCCCACAGGCCCTCAGGCTCCCAACCTGGTAGGTACCTCAGTTTTCAAGATTTTGAAAAAGCCGTAGAACCTTTTCCCCAAGGAATCCTGATAGAGTTAAGCTGCTGTGTCCCCTCCCCTGAACTGGTGCTTGAAACCACCTTGTCAGACAGCACATTTGCTGTGACAGCACCTGCCTTCCATGAGCAAGCTTCCCAGGAACAGCGACTAGACTGGTGGGGTGACACACCCACACAAGGGGCGGCTGAGGGCACTCTACATACACTCTGGTGGGCGTGTCAACACAGGAGATGTGGGAGCCTCATCTGACAGCCTTTGCAGCCAGGCCTTTCCACCAAATGACATGCCAACCAGCCCTCAGACGTGTATTCTAACGATTTCCAGGCTGAACATTTTCTACGCTGAATTTCCACTTTCTGTGTTGAAGATGAGCAGAGTTTGCAACCCCAAAATTAATTTTTCTTCTGCTAACCGGTCTTGTGTTAACTTGATCATTAGTCCAGCCAGGAGAGCCTGAAGGGTAGAGGATAATTTTTCCTCCCCAACAGCTTGTACCAGACAGCGGGGTGACCGGTCCCAGCTGAGAGTCGTCACAATGGTGTAAGGCAGGGCCGCGTGGCTCTTGCCGCGTCCCTCACCCTCGCCCTGGCCCTCAGTGACCCAGACTGCCAAGCTTTGAGTTCCCACATCTGCACTGTTTTTATTTCCTCATCCCCCCACTTGAGGAAGGAAGAAAAGGGCGCGTGCACATTCCTACTAATGGGTGGGCTGAGAGCAAACTGGCTTCTAGCGCAGAGGTTAAGTTGGTCTCTGAACCTGAATGAGAAAAAAATGTCACACCTTTATTTGCAATGACCTTGGGCTGAAATTTTGCACTCACTCAATGAAGGTAGACTTTAAATCCTGGGGTCAGCAGTGCCTGTGGCTTTTTCGCCAAGAGACACCACAAATACTTCCACAAAGTATTAAAGCTGCTTCAGAAACCTGTCAGTTATGCTTATCACCCACCCAAGGAACTCCTAGAGCAGTGCTCGGTCTGTTACACAGTGAGGAGCTTTATCACCAGTTTGGTTCAGTATTTTGATAACTGTATTTTACTATTATGGGTTCTTGATCTTGTTTTATCTAACGTTTTTCTGGGGAACCAGAGCCCAGGTGGAGCACAGGAAAGGTCCCCTAGGGCATATGCATCCCTAACTGTTTCAGATTTTCTTCTAAACAGTTTCAAATAGCTTAATTTGCAACAAAATGAAAGTTGTAATACAAAGTTACGACTCATATGTAGTACTTTTGTAAAGTTACAATACACTGACACAAAAGTAAATAGATGTAAACTAGAGGACAGGGAACCCACATCTTTGCACCCACATCATTAACATGCAACCTGCTGACACTTAAATCACAAGCACAAAATGCTAACCTTTCAGTCCTATTTCACCTACCACGTTTCATCAATTCTAATACACACTTTCAAATTTCTGACGTGGGGAGCCGTAAGAAAGCCTTGATGCCCTAAGAAAGCACCGTGTCTGTCAGTCGTATTGCACAACGGTGCATCACAGATCCAGTCAAATATTGTAACTAGATGATCCACAGCTCAGTCTCCACTCGGTAAATTAAGGAAAAAGTGACAAAAGGCAGGTTGGAGTCTGCCATCTTCCAAACGAATGTACCAGGTTCGAGTGCATCACCAATAACTACTGGCAAACATTTTTACATTTCACCTCAGTCCTTCCTTATTAAGTTTAAAACGTATTGTATAAAATGTTATGTAACTTATTACAGTATGATGCATTGTATAAATATATATAATACTTCCTTTTTCCGTTTGCCAGGAAAAATCATAGTTATACCCAACTAAAGGTGAGGGTTCTTTCCTAAAGTGGGAAGTACTCATTTCCTAAGGAAAAGACAGCAATTTCTTACAATCTCAATTATTAAATCATAGCCCCCTTACACAGGTCAGACATATCCAGGATGGTGCAAGTCTGAGCGCGAACTCAGGAAACGCACATGTGCTTATGTACAAGTACCCCACACACACACACGCTCCCCCAATTATCTTCTCGGCCCTTAACTCTCCGGGTTCCGACGCTGGCAACATTCTAAGACGCAGCTGAGGGGTCCAACCTCACCCAGGAAAACCTAGCTGGCTGTCTCAGGACCACCGACAGGGCGTTTCAAGATCTGCAGATGAAACGAGGATGAAATAAAGCAGACTCAACTTTTCCTAATGTTTCTGGCGTGACTCACGAGTTCTTTCTAAAGGAATGTGAAATTCTAGAGAGCGCTCGACCATGCCCGACACTTCCAGTCCCTATTTCAAATCAGCCGTTTATCAGAAGCGATACCTTTTTAACGAATTCCAGAAAACTGGCCCCCTGGCCCTGGATCACGAAGCCCAAACAGGCCCCGTCAGAGCACCGCCCGGCTCCCTCCCAAGCCCGCCCCCGGGGGACCCAGGACACCCCGCCCAGCGGACCCCCGCGGCTACAGGCGGGCCGGCAGGACCCGCACGGGCCGAGTCGCGCGGGCGTCGCCTGGGGCACGCCCCTCCAGCAGCCCCGCCCGCTACTTCCCGCCTCCCGTCCCGCGGAGCACCCCCGGCAGCTGCCGCACCAACCGCGGGGCCTGCGCGCCCCTCACGCCTGGCCCCGCCCCCACGTCCCTAGTGCCGGCCCCGCCCCCGCCCGCGCGACCGGAAGTGGAGCTGGATCCTGGGAGCGGCGGGCGCGGCGGAGCCAGGGACGATCCGGGCCGGACCGACTCCAGGC